CACACACAAACACACGCACACACACACATGTAGACACAAACACATACACACACATACACAAGCGCACACACACATGCGCACACACACACGTACACACACACACACACACACACACACACGTAGACACACACACACACACGTAGACACACACACACACACGTAGACACACACACGTAGACACACACGGCTAAGAAGTGCAGGGTGAGTCAACGTTATGTTCACACTAGTAGTAGTATGGGAAGAATCCAAAGACACAACGCAAGGTGTCATACCAAGTGCTGCTCCCCGCGATGAATGTATGTCAAGGCACTAAATTGAACTGTCCATGACCGTCGAGTTTTGTGTATTGATCATGCTAATGACCAGGCCGAGACTTCAGTAAATTCCGAATAAATGACTTCTCCCATGTCAGTGTTAATTTAACATAATTTGGACTCACCCCGTATGTGTAAATACTAATTAAAGGGCAACAAGGCGATCAGACGATGAGTACTAGAGTGCACAACGGTATCCCAAAGAGTATAAATCACCATGAATGTCACTACAAGCTTAGTCATCACATCTTACCTTAAAAAAAAACCACCAGGTTAGTCACGACTAAAATATAATACACACAATCACACCACAGGCACGGGTAGACGTATTATTGCTAGTGCATGTCATTAGTCAGTAATTGGTAGCGAGCGACGCCAGCAGACGACCACCGACAACACACACACACACATAGAGAGAGAGCCCTGTGTAGCGCTGTGGAATCCCCATAGACTCGAATTTATAATAGAATCCTAGACCGAGAACTGTCATGGCCGCCGCTCTCTGCTCTCTATTAAAAACGAACAAACAAACAAAACCTGTGCGCTGGTGCGCAGCGCACCGTGAACGCACAAATGAAAGGCAAAACACAAATCGCTACCTCAGAATTACGAAGTTCTATCAGACATTTTTGGCCGACTTGAGTAACTGAGACCTTGAGGTCATGAATCAAAATGCTCTATCCGCTCTATCAAAATCGCTAAAATATTCCGAGTCGCTATCAAGATATTCAAAGAATTGCATTCGAAAAAGCTCGACAGGTTGTGAAACTCGACATTGTTGACGTCATTTTTTTTTTTCAAAACTAGGTACTGAGCAGATAGTCATAATTCGCCCTTCATTTTGGTGCCAATAAATACGAGTCAAATGGCGCACTCCTTCGTGAACCAGAATGACATGGTCTGAACTAGCCAGTCTGGTGTTCTCTAACATAAGTCTATGGGAATCCCCGCACTGCCGGGGCTGCATGCACGAGAGGAGCCGGCTAGCTCAGCACGCACGCACGCACACACACACACACACAC